GGTAGTAAGTAGTCCAACCCTGGTATGCATGGGTCTTCAATGTCAGCCAAGTATACTTTCTGTCTCTTCTTCATGCCTATGAGCTCAATATTTACTCACACTGGTCCCCACAACCTTGCATAATGTCCTGTCATACCACAGAGCTTTTGATACTCCTTTGTGATCTAGCACCGTGATACTCACAAAGGTTTGCTGAGATGCAGAATCTATGACAAAGTTGCACCTTTGGCCATCCACCTTTCCTGTCACGTAGAAACTATGTGTACTTGCCATTTTACACTTAGCTGTTGGGACTTTCATGATGGGTGTTGGTGGGCGTCCCTCAACACGAACCATTACTGGTTTCACCAAGGCCAACTTATTGGTAGTATGCTTCTTACACTGGCTCCTCATATGTCCTTGCTCTCCAAATTTCCAACAACCTTTCTGGGTAGCAGCCTTTCCTGCCGTGGCATCTTCCCTGTGTTGAAGCTGCCAGCATTAAGCTCTCTTGTGCCCAGGTTTGTTACAGTGCCAGCAAAGTCCCTCAAACTTCTCTGAAAGCTGCCTTTTCTGGCCTTGAATCCTGATGACTGTACCAACCTTGGTACCTATGTGCTGTACTTAACGTAGGATTCAAATCCAAGAGCTCTGGCCACTGCATCCAGCATAGTAGAGTGGTGTGCTTGCTTCATTTGTATTTTCAGTTGTGGACTGTCCAAGGCAACTGATCCCTCAGCAACAACTTGAGGACATCAGGTGGCGCAGTTGGGTTGGCCTTGTGTGCCATACTTTCGAAATCCTGTGCCAGCTCTTGCAGGCTCTCCACTTTAGCACGGACTCTTGTCCTAAACCTAGTCCTGTAGACTTCGGACTGATTTTGGGTTCCATACCTGAGTTCTAGAGCAGCTACCCGTGCTTTATAGTTGTGTCTGTCGTCTGCTGACAACTGTCCGAGTATTTCCAGTAGTTATCCCTTCAAGCTCATTGCCAGATATGCTACTTTCTGCTCCTCTGTCCATCCATTCATCTCTGCCAGAGACTCAAATTGTGCTCTATATTAGCTTCCCATGGTGCCTTCCCCTCGATTTCCTGTGGCTTCCTTCATACTAGATCACCCCTATTGCTGACATTCATATTTGGGATGTGACTTCTAACAGGACTGAAGATGTCTGCATTAGGGTTTAGCTGTGGGGTCTGGAAGGGGCTTGCCATTGTCTGGGGCTGATTAAGTCGATGGTTAATGTATCCTCCTTGTGTAAAAGACAATAAGTCATCATTTAATGTATTTAATTCGCTTTGAAATTTACCATTGTTTTCCATTTGTGTACTCTGGCTTTATCTCCATCGTTGGAGACTTTCTTCTTGTTTCCTTTCTTGTTCCATTTGCCACTGCTGTAATCTCTTATCTTGTTTATTTTCTTTCCCCTCCAACAACTGCTGTTATCTCTCTTGTTTATTTCGCTGTTCGAGCTGCCACTGTTGCAGGTTTTCTTGTCACTGCTGTTGTCTCTCTTCTTGTTTCTTTTCTTTTTCCTCCAACAACTGGTGTAATCTCTATTCTTGTTTCTTTTGCTGTTCTTGTATTGCTGTCATCAAATCTGCTAAGCTGTAGTTTGATTTGTCACCTCTCGTTTCCATTATCTTTTCTTTTCCGCTTCTGACACCAGTTTGTTACGTCTCTGTGTTCGTTTGTTAATTTTTCGTAGAAATTCTTTCCGAGAAACTTCAACGATACAAGTCTTTTCTTAAATAAAACTAGTTTATTCTTTCTCAATTCAACTTTGCAATACACTTAATTTTCACAGTCACTTTAACTTACACACGCTAGAATTCACAGCGATTCTCGTACTTTACTTAAGGCTTGACTCGATTATCTGTCTCTATATCTTTGTGTCTGCAATTCAATTCCGAATGAATGTCTCCTTTATTTGGAGCGCTTATGTACAATAAAAGCGCGCGCGTAGCACCTACTTGCCTCTTCGCGAATCTTCTAGAGTCTAGACACTCATCACGTGTTACCTCATCACGTGACTTCCGCTGTCGTAACAATATCGAGAATAGTGATCAAATTACTATATTTTGTTTTATTTTATACAAGAAAAATATTTAATGTATACATAGATTACTGTATTTACTTCTTTTATAAGAAGTATTATTGCTCATAGCAGATCTTACTATTTACCTCTACATGAAACGCTGAAAAGACTAATAAGTACTTATGATTTATCAATGTAAACTGTAAAATAAAAGTAGTTAAATGCTGTATCATCAAAAACCTTTTGAACCTCTCCAGTGTATCAAAGTGTATTATTTTGGGTGTCATGCTTCTTGTTTTGTTGACCATCTGATTATACCGATATTTTTAATATAATCAAGAATTCACTCACCTAATTTGGTAAAATTTCTTGAGGTCACTTGATGCACTTTTCTTTTTCAGAGACGCATAATGTGATAAATTATAATATAATTGTAGATTAGTGAGAGAATCAATAGAGCCAGACTAGTGCTAACAGACATCCACGTCCCCCCCCCCCCAGTGGAAAGTATGAAGGCTTATAACGTTAATAACCGAGTATGGATACCCGTGGCAGGCACAGCATAGATAGTCCATTGTGTAGCTTTATGCTAAACTACAAACAAACAAACAAACAAAAGCCAGACATCCAAGTTATGTTACTATTTTTGGGTATAATGGCAATTAGGTAGAATTTTCTATATTATATATATAGTGAAAAGAAAGTCAGTGCAGTTTATTTGGTATTAAATAAAAATCTTCTTTAACAAGAAAACAGTAAATG